TTGATGAGGGAAGGGAGCCCTAGGAGGAGGGTGAAGGGTTTGACACTGAAAGAGGGGAGATGGAGATGAGATCTCAGGAAGAACTTCTTTGTTGTGAGGTGGTGAGAGCCTGGCCCAGGTTGCCCAGAGAAGCTGTGGCTGCCCCAGCAGGGCAAGGGAGGAGATTCTACCCCTCTGCTCCACTCTGGTGACACCCCATCTGGAGTATTGTGTCCAGCTTTGGAGTCCTCAACACAAGAAGGACATGGATCTGTTGGAACAGGTCCAGCGGAGGGCCATGAAAATGATCAGAGGGCTGGAGCACCTCTGCTATGAAGACAGGCTGAGAGAACTAGGGTTTTTCAGCCTGGAGAAGAGAAGGCTCCAGGGAGACCTTATAATGGCCTTCCAGTACCTGAAGGGGGCTACAGGAGAGATGGGGAGGGACTCTTGGTCAGGGAGTGTAGCCATAGGAGGAGTGGGAAGGGTTTGACACTGAAAGAGAGGAGATTTAGATTAGCTATTAGGAAAAAGTTCTTTGCTGTGAGGGTGGTGAAACCCTGGCCCAGGTTGCCCAGAGAAGCTGTGGCTGCCCCATCCCTGGAGGGGTTCAAGGCCAGGTTGGAGGGGGCTTTGAGCAACCTGGTCTGGTGGGAGGTGTCCCTGCCCAGGGCAGAGGATTGGAACTGGATGATCTGTAAGGTCCTTTCCAACTCAAACCATTCTATGATTCTATAAACACTAATATCTCTACAATTCCAAAGCTGACCACATATTGTGTGCCCCTGGCAGCTATTCTATACCACACTCAGCCTTCAGTAACGTGTGCTGAGTTCTCACCACAGCCTCCTGCTTCTTTCCTACACTCATAAATTCCAACAAAACAGTAACTGCAGCAGATAAAAGTGAATACTTCTACAAGAACCTTGTGATCTAAGTGACCTGAATCATCCAAGTAAAGAAATCTGTAGCAGATAAAGTGTTTCCCAAACGTAACTTACATTCTGAGATATACTGTATTTAACATTAAAAACAAGCACGTGTACTTATGAAATCACCCTTGAGTGAAAACATAAGCTACTCCCTATTCCCCCAACGCACGACTTTTAGAAGCTCTTAATGTGGATATCAGGGCAACCCTGCAGAAGCTACTCCCTATTCCCCCAACACACGACTTTTAGAAGCTCTTAATATGGATATCAGGGCAACCCTGCAGTCAAAAAAAAAGGATGAAGCCAAGTAAAACTTTTAACGTAGTCAATAATCACTATGCCTGTGTGTTACAGTAAAGATCGAGTACAGAAAATTACTCAACAGTTTATGTCAGAGTTTGAAAGCCTGCTAAAGTACAGAAATTTAATAATGCACGTTAATTGCTATGTTCAATCCAGTTTGGAGCAGGTGAGAAACATGAGCTATTAGTTCAGAAAGAAAACTGCAGATTAAGACATTGGAGGTTTTCTATAGCAACCCAAGTCCTTTGAGAGTTGGTGGGACTGACTTTCCAATAGCTGGGAAGGGAAGACCTCATGCAGGAGCTAATCCTGAAAAAATCTTACAGAACACAGGTAAATGGGCCAACAGGGATTCATATACTTAGCTAAACTTTCTCCTTTTCAGAAATCTATTGTGAAATGAAGTATTAAGTCATGAGGGTTTGGAAGGCGATAGCCTGAAGGACTAAACCTTCCAATCTGTCTCAGACAACAGGAAATTGGTTTAATCTTTATACACCCACACACAGGCAAGCTCTGCTCCTCAAGAAATTTGTTTTCCAGATACAAATGTTCTCGTTTGCTGCCCTTCTGAAAGGCATGTAGGGGAAGGAGTATGATCGTGTGCTCAGAGAACTAAACTGAAGCAAAACAGATTAATGTTCTATTAAGTTACCCAGGAAGTGTTTGGACAAGTTATTAAAATGGTATCAAAATTAATTTGAAAGACATAATTAGAGAGTCATATTTCATTGTGTCAAAACAGGAAGACCTCAGCGAGTTTAACTCTTTAGGCAAATTCCCTCTGGTGTCCTGCCAAAACTCACTGAGCTTCAAAGAGAAATCAGACATTTCCAAGCATCCCAATGCTGTCAACTATGCACAATAAAACCCTTTCGTCTTGGTTTGGAGTATTAGAAATTAGTGTTAAAATATTATAACATTTTGATTGCCTACCTTGCTCTCTACAACTCCCTGAAAGGAGGGTGTAGCAAAGGGGACTCAGTCTCTTCTCCCAAGTAACAAGTGGTAGGACAAGAGGAAAAGGCCTCAAGTTGTGCCAGGGACGGCAACCCTGCAGTCAAAAAAAAAGGATGAAGCCAAGTAAAATGTTTAACGTAGTCAATAATCACGATGCTGTGTGTTACAGTAAAGATTGAGTACAGAAAAAAACCTCACTATAATTACTCAAAAAATTATGTCAAAGTTTGAAAATCTGCTAGAGGACAGAAATTTAATAATGCATGTTAATTGCTATGTTCAATCCAGTTTGGAGCAGGTGAGAAACATGAGCTATTAGTTCAGAAAGAAAACTGCAGATTAAGACATTGGAGGTTTTCTATAGCAACCCAAGTCCTTTGAGAGTTGGTGGGACTGACTTTCCAATAGCTGGGAAGGGAAGACCTCATGCAGGAGCTAATCCTGAAAAAATCTTACAGAACACAGGTAAATGGGCCAACAGGGATTCATATACTTAGCTAAACTTTCTCCCTTTCAGAAATCTATTGTGAAATGAAGTATTAAGTCATGAGGGTTTGGAAGGCGATAGCCTGAAGGACTAAACCTTCCAATCTGTCTCAGACAACAGGAAATTGGTTTAATCTTTATACACCCACACACAGGCAAGCTCTGCTCCTCAAGAAATTTGTTTTCCAGATACAAATGTTCTCGTTTGCTGCCCTTCTGAAAGGCATGTAGGGGAAGGAGTATGATCGTGTGCTCAGAGAACTAAACTGAAGCAAAACAGATTAATGTTCTATTAAGTTACCCAGGAAGTGTTTGGACAAGTTATTAAAATGGTATCAAAATTAATTTGAAAGACATAATTAGAGAGTCATATTTCATTGTGTCAAAACAGGAAGACCTCAGCGAGTTTAACTCTTTAGGCAAATTCCCTCTGGTGTCCTGCCAAAACTCACTGAGCTTCAAAGAGAAATCAGACATTTCCAAGCATCCCAATGCTGTCAACTATGCACAATAAAACCCTTTCGTCTTGGCTTAGAGCATTAGAAATTAGTGTTAAAATATTATAACATTTTGATTGCCTACCTTGCTCTCTACAACTCCCTGAAAGGAGGGTGTAGCAAAGGGGACTCAGTCTCTTCTCCCAAGTAACAAGTGGTAGGACAAGAGGAAAAGGCCTCAAGATGCACCAGGTACAACCTGTGAGAAGAGACCAGCACCAACCTCTCTACAGTGTCCTTTCAAGGAGTTGTAGAGAGTGATGAGGTCTCCCCTCAGCCTCCTCTTCCTCACACTAAACAGTCCCAACTCTCTCAGCCGCTCCTCATACGATTTGTTTTCCAGCCCCCTCACCAGCTTCGTTGCCCTCCTCTGCACTTGCTCCAGCACCTCAATATCTCTCTTGTATTGAGGTGCCCAAAACTAGTTTAGGAGGAATATTGGGGAAAATTTCTACACTGGAAGGGTTATTAAGCCTTGGAAGAGGCTGCCCAGGGAAGTGGTAGAGTCACCATCCCTGGAGGTATTTAAAAGCCAGGCAGACGTGGTGCTGAGGGACATGGGTCAGTGGTGGGTTTGTCAGTGTTGGGTTGATAGTTTGACTCAATGATCTGAAAGGTCCCTTCAAACCTCAGCAACTCTATGATTCTCTACTTGCAACAAGAAGAGGGTTTTTTTTCCAGGCTTTACATCAACAGAGACAGCCACTTTCCCCAAATTCATTTCCCCTCAGCCATCTCTTTTGCTCCCTTTTCAAGTGGAAAAACCAAGTCACTGGATCTGGAAGCCCGACTCCGCGGCCGACATCCGTACGCGCAGCGGAGGAGAGCACAGCCGGTCAGAGTCACATTCCTTTCAGCTCTGTGGTTTGCAGGCCACAAAAGTGAAGCTTAACCCATAATTGCTGCTATTTTCATATTAGAGCACACAGGTGCAAAGACAGCAGGAAAACAGGCCAAGCGCCAAAAAGGCAGGAGAAGGCATCCAGAGAGTGAATTTAAGGACAGCAAGTTGTTTCCTAGTAGCACAACTATAACAGCGGTGTAGCTACACGTTGAAAGAGAATGATTACAGAACAAATTTAAAACTCTTCATTAAGTTGATTTACAGTAGATAACAGTCGACAGTGCTCTTTTTCAAATCCTCTGCGTTAAAGAAAGCTATTTATTTTCTCATGTTTATCAACCACTACCCCAGTACTGGCAGGAACTCCTCAGTGAAGCTACGCATTTGCTATCTGTGGGTTACACCCACCACAGCCAGCAGCAGAACATGAAAGAAAAGTTTTCCAACAGCAGCCAAAACTTACCTATTAATCACACTGTATAAGTTTTTCTGTCATTAGAAGCCAAATCAATAGTATACGCACGCCAACAGATGTAGAATGACAAAGCTAAACTACTCAGCTTGGTCAGATACTCCATCTACACTATTAGATGAGATACTCTATTAGATTAGATATTATGAAGAAAATTTACACTGTGAGGGTGGTGAGAGCCTGACCCAGGTTGCCCAGAGAAGCTCTGGCTGCCCCATCCCTGGAGGGGTTCAAGGCCAGGTTGGATGGAGCTTTGAGCAACCTGGTCTGGTGGGAGGTGTCCCTTTCCAGGCTGGAACTGGATAATCTTTAAGGTCCCTTTCAACTTGAACCATTCCATGATTCTATCAGAGAATTCCAACATGAGAAACTCAACCAACTGTCCCATGGCTCCTGAAAGCAGTAACAAGTAACTCCAGACTCCATGTCACTTCAGACTACCCTAAACTGTTCAAGTGGGGGTTTTTTTGATCTTGTTGACTTGTTGTTTTGAAGAAAGCAGATTGGCATATTTCTGAGATACTTACTCTCTCTCTTTTTCTGTCAGTTTGTCGTTGATATTATCTTTGATTGTAGACCGGGAGCCCTTGTGAATTATAGGATACCTGAGTGGCACTTGTAAAAAGTAGGATATCATCGAAACCAAGTGAGCGGTGTAGCCCAGGGCAACAGCAATGCTTCCATCATCTTTTGCTGTCAACAAAAAGAAAATTTAAAAATCCATCATTTAATCAATTACATCTCACTGCAGGCTCAGCGCACGTTCATCCTTATTGCTTAGAGAATGATACAATTAATGAAGTTATCAGAAGTTCTAACTTAAGGATAGGTGCAAGTGTGAAATAAATCTCAATTTTACAATTGTTTGCAGCTCACTGTATTTGCCTCTTTCATTAAAGGGCAACGTAAAATGGGAGATGACTTGTTCTCCTTCTGATTTTACACTTTCAAAGCTAAAAGTTCCCTCTTCTCAACATTTGGCTGGATGGGGGAGGGTAAAAAGAAACAAAATTCCCAAGACAAAATTCAAGTCTTAAACTTTCTGCATTTCTCTGGACGTAGCTGACATATACGAGCTGGGTCAGGGAAAAGCTGCATTCCTCCCAAACTGTATTCATTAGTGAGATCAGTTGGAGAGACACCGACCCCAGGGTACGAACTCTCTTCTCTGCCAGTAACTGGAAGAACTTGGATTAACCCATTGTTTTAAAGTATCATTTTCAATTTGACGGTTAAGGTTTCAACCATAAAGCTTCACCTGCCGGGAAAACACATGGGTCTCAAAATTCAGATTCCATCCTTTAGCCACGTAAAGGGCTTTTCCTTTCTGTTTTCTGTATTTTTCCTATTTGTACATGAACACATCAAAACCAACAACCTGAATCATCTCTTCTGAGGCACAAGGGAGCCCCAGGAAATCAACCAAACAGAGGACCTTAGAAGAAAGTTGATAATGATATTCAATGACTATGAAATCATACTGAGCTCTATTAGAACACAATATATGGATTTAAAAGTTACACCCCCTTCAAAAAGGATTTTGCAAAAAGTCTTCAATATCTGCAGCAAAACTGGAATATTATATTATGGTTTTTTTTTTTTTTAATATTACTATTTGCTAAGTCTGCAATAAGATACATGTCAGAAGCTGGGTTTCAAATTTAGCTGCCTATTTCACTAAGTCGAATTAATACAATATTTCTAGAGACTTTGATAAAGAATTATTAATTCTTCGATCAGGAATTAATGCACACCACTGATTTGTCAAGAATTACCAAACTGAGTTCACTACCACATTTAGTGCAGTCAGGAAAACAAAGCAATAGACTCATTTTTGTCACATTGAGAGACTGATTTGTTTTAAAGAATAATCCTCCATGTTTCTAGCATTCAATGTACACATTGTTAGCACAAGTTAATTCCTATGGGATGGCTTTAGAAGAGTTAGACAATTGATTTGAGATTTTTGCCCAAGAAACCACATGCCCTGCAGAGCAAGAGAGTGCTGGGAGCAAGAAACCCTTGAGGATTTTAATGAATTCACATCAAACATATGTAGATGATGGGCTTTTGCAAGTGTTGGGTTGATGGTTGGACTCAATTTGAAAGGTCTCTTCCAACCCACATAATTCTATGATTCTATGAAATCTGTATGTTATCTGTACAACAATTATACAGACAGGCCTATTATTTATTTGCTTCTGCAATAGGATGACTGTAGACAGAATATTTTTCTAAAAGTCAACAGCAACTTCCTGTTACTGTTTATAGAAATAAATAATGCAAAGGTTTTCTTCCAGTCTAGACCTTTCCAGTCAGAAATTTGGATCCTAAGCCATTGCTATCAGTTTCTTTAATTTTTTTACTTTTTACTTAGAAGTAGGGTCAACGGTAACAACTAAATTAAGAATATCCAGTTACCTTGAAAGTCTTCAGAATTAGGAAGCTTGACTCCGCAAACAAAGTAATCCTTTTGATCATTCTGTAAGTTTAAAAATCAACAACAGAAAGTGAGAATGCAACAATAACATCCAAAAAACAGAAACCTGCATAAAATCTAATGACAACAGATAATTTTTGTAAAAAAACCAAAAAGCTAAATATTCAATGGAGAGGGACTTTGACATAATGTTTTAAACCACATTTCATATAATTAAGAAATAAATACAGCTTTTTTTAAAGAAGGAAGAGCTTCATCTTAATTCGTTATAAAGGTTTTGGAGCTCAGTATTTTGACATCTGTTTATGTGCATTCCATTAAAGTTCAGCTAACCCTCTGTCAGAGTTATTTCGTATAATTGTAAATAAAATGGAAAGCATCCATTAAATTACAGCTACAGCCATTCTGCTTTTATAGTCCAGGCTATTTGAGAGATGCTGGCATAAGTCCTCTCCTCTCCCCATGAGGTTTGCAATCTAAGGACCAAAACCAAGAAAAAGCTGGAAAAAACCAGTACGAGTGAAGAGCAAGTTTCACCACGAATAAAACATCAGATTTGCTTGCACTGCAATAAATGGAAAGTTCATTTCACATCAAGCAGATTTTTAGAACCTTAAAAACATACCAGATCAATAGGGTAGATATAGGACAGCTCCGACAGCAATTGCTTGCATCGAATAGTCTGCTGGGCGTTTGTCTTCAAAAACAGTTCTCTTTGGAGAAAAAGAACCCAAAACCATTAGTTTCTTCAAAAGCTTTAAAGGTATCAAGCCCATGTATCCCTTCTGCATCTTCCCAAGTATCACGTCCCCTCCCCTAGGAGCCAGGAAATCTCAGAGACAACTCCAGAAGAGAAAGGTAACTTTTCATATTCAGTTGTACCTCGTATTATAGGCGTATTTTGACTATGACAATTAAGTATTAAAAAGCTGTGTTTCACCAAAATGGACTTAAAAGCCCTATCCCAGTCTATATGTGCCACTGAGCATCTGTTTCCTTCTCTTCTGGATTAATTGCCACTTTAGATATCTACAAATAGGAGCAGAAATGGCTTAATAGAAGTTTTAGGGTGACATTAGGAAGAATTTGGTGCCAGGAGCCCCCCTTCCAATGGTCTACTCTCAAGCCCGTTATTTCCTTTCCAGTTGCAGAAAAAGAATAGTTCTTTTACCTCTTAGCAGTGCATTCCTTTCTTAATTCATGCAGGGAATCGTTATGGTCTTGAAGTTTCTGGTTTTCAGTCTCAAACACATTTTCTAAACAGCGTAAGGAACAAGGAAAAAATTATTAAAGAGGATTTTCTTAGTTATATGAATTTTAGAAGTAGATACCGACACAAACGTTGGCAAAAATTCTCCATTTACTCATAGATGCCCATTTTCCACCTTAACAGGTGGAATCTGGACAAGCTGGAGAAGTGATCCTGTGCAAACCTCATGAAGTTCAACTAGGCCAAGTGCGAGGTCCTGCACCTGGGTCACAGCAATCCCAGGCACAAATGGCTGGAGAGCAGCCCTGAGGAAAAGGACTTAGGGGTGTTGGTGGGTGAGAAACTCAACATGAGCTGACAACGTGAGTTGGCAGCCCAGAAAGCCCCCCACATCCTGGGCTGCATCCCCAGCAGCGTGGCCAGCAGGGCCAGGGGGGGATTCTGCCCCTCTGCTCTGCTCTGGGGAGACACCCCCCACCCAGTGCTGCCTCCAGCTCTGGGGCCACCAACATCAGAAGGACATGGACCTGTTGAGTAGGCCACAGAGATAATCCAAGGGCTGGAGCCCCTCTGCTGGGAGGACAGGCTGAGAGAGTTGGGGGGGTTCAGCCTGGAGAAGAGAAGGCTCCGGGGAGACCTTGGAGCCCCTTCCAGTCCCTCAAGGGGTCTACAAGAAAGCTGGGGAGCTTTCTTTATGGCTCCCTCTCCCTCTTGATCAGGGATGGGAACCACAGGATGAGGAGGAACGGTTTAAAACTGAAAGAGGGGAGATTGAGATGAGATCTTAGGAAGAAATTCTTTGGTGTGAGGGTGGTGAGAGCCTGGCCCAGGTTGCCCCGAGAAGCTGTGGCTGCCCCATCCCTGGAGGTGTTCAAGGCCAGGTTAGATGGGGCTTTGAGCAACCTGGTCTGGTGGGAGGTGTCCCTGCCCAGGGCAGGGGGTTGGAACTAGACGATATTAAGGTCTCTTCCAACCTGAGACATTCTATGATTCTATGATTCCACATTATGCTGCCGAGGGATGACAGCACAGGAGGAACACAGGTCTTCAAGCCCTATCCACCATTCACCTGCCAAATACGACCAAAGAAACCTCCTTCTCCTTTACTGCCTGTTCCCCTCATGTCCACAGTAGTGGAGTAATTCAGTTAAGGCACATAAATAGTTGCAAAATCAAAATTAAGTAAATGGCAAGACCCCTTATTTTTAGTAGTGATTAATTATTTTAGTCTAAACTAGGTATTAAAAAAATAAAGAAAAATAAAAAGTCCTGCAACTTGTGAGCTCTGAAGAGACAGTGATACAGCATTTTACTATAGGACACTTCCCAGTAAAACAAAATACCAAGAAGACTAAAGAGTTCACCTTTCACTTATGTAATTAGCTATTAAGAGGGATTTTTGTCTTCTAACACTTGAAATTAGATTCTAATCACAGGTACAATAACATCCCTCATGACATTATAATATGCCTGCATCAAGACACTGTTTACTGCGTTACGGTGCAGCTCTGATTTTCTCATCGAATTTTAATTAAGCACAGATTTAAGATTGCTCGAGAGAGGTGTCATAGTAAGAAGTTATTTAGAGACAGGATACCAGGAACTGCTGTCCCGGATTCAGTGTAACACAGACTGGGAAGAGATTATATCCAGCTGAAAACTTCAGATAAAGCAAAGCACAAACATTAGAGCCAGACCAAAATAAAACACCTTAATTTTGGTCAGCACGATCACAAACTAAGGCTGCTACTCTTCTGATTAGCAGATTATGAGCAATCTATGCACATGATCTATGCAGATTATGATATGCAATAGAAGCAGTAATGATCCTACACATACCTCTGTCATGCAAAGTATTTTTCTCCTTATGCAACAAGGCTACTTCTTGACCAAGGGCCTTCTTCTGCCTCTCCAGTTCATTACGTAGCACCAGGATCTTCAACTGTAAACATTCACTCTCCTTTTTCTAGTGCAAGTAAAACAGATTTTTAAAAAGTATAAGTTTTGCTGCGTACAAGCAGTTCAATAAAAATGATGATAAAAGGGAAGGGCAAGACTAGTGTCTGCCAAACCAAAGGCTGAGCTCATAGATTACCACAGGCTATAGATTACCAAAAAACCCTAATTATTTTGCTGTTTTGGAAGGGGAGAAATTGTACCTTCTCTAAATCTATTCCTGTGCTTAAAAAGAATCTGTTTTTTCTTTGAGGTACTGTCTCCACCAAGAAATTGTGCTGCCGTGTGCTCAGTGAAGCAGGAATTTTTATTATAATTGATGCTTTTTGTAGGTGGTGGCTTGGGTTTTTTGTTGATTTGGGGTTTTTTTCGTTTAAAAAAAAGGAATACCTACCATGTTTAATAGATGCTTGTTGAGAATAATTGGAGCCATTCAAAATGGAAAAGAGAAGTTACATCCCTCCAGTCCAACCACCCCCTGATAGAGTTCAAAGACTCTGAAGGGGCAGAGGTACTTGTGAGTTTTGTGCAAATACTATGAGACGCTGTCACTTTCTGTAACTCAGTCACTTTCACTTTTTCAGGCAGTTAATGGAGATGATGTTATGAAAAAGTCAGCTCTTATTGAGCTCTTCCCTCCCCATTATATTTGCTTCAATTACTCATATATGTTCCACTTCTGGTTCAAGACTCCAGCAGGAAACATGACCCAATATTAAGGAATGAAACCATAGTTCGCACATTTATGAAGTGGAACGGAAGCTCAACAAGAGTTTCCACTATTAAACAAAGGAAAAGAAAAATAATCATTTTCTTATGTCGTGGACTGTGGTGGCTAAGAAGTTGCATCAACCTTCCAGTTCCTAAAGGGTGCCTACAAGATAGATGGGGAGGGCCTCTTGATCAGAGAGTGGAGAAATAGGAGGAAGGGTTTGACACTGAAAGAGAGAAGATTGAGATGAGATCTCAGGATGAAATTCTTTGGTGTGAGGGTGGTGAGACACCAGAACAGGTTGCCCAGAGAAGCTGTGGCTGCTCCATCCCTGGAGGGGTTCAAGGCCAGGTTGGACGGGGCTTGGAGCAACCTGGTCTGGTGGGAGGTGTCCCTGCCCAGGGCAGGGGGGTTGGAACTGGATGGTCTTTAAGGTCCCTTCCAATCCATACCATTCAATCATTGCTGTTTCAGTGTAGTCCAACCACCCCCTGATAGAGTTCAAAGACTCTGAAGGGGCAGAGGTACTTGTGAGTTTTGTGCAAATACTATGAGACGCTGTCACTTTCTGTAACTCAGTCACTTTCACTTTTTCAGGCAGTTAATGGAGATGATGTTATGAAAAAGTCAGCTCTTATTGAGCTCTTCCCTCCCCATTATATTTGCTTCAATTACTCATATATGTTCCACTTCTGGTTCAAGACTCCAGCAGGAAACATGACCCAATATTAAGGAATGAAACCATAGTTCGCACATTTATGAAGTGGAACGGAAGCTTTCATAGAGTTTGCTCACACATATTTATAAAGGAAAAGCCTTTGCATAGAGGGACAAGGATAACCATCTTTTTTTCAGTTATGGATAAAAACCTTCTAACAGCCAAGATACCAACAGAAGGCAAAGCAGCTCTGGGCTGAAGTCACTTGTAGGTGATATTATGCTGCCCATTAAGGGAGCTGGGTAGACATGAAGCTGTGGCTGCTCCATCCCTGGAGGGGTTCAAGGCCAGGTTGGACGGGGCTTGGAGCAACCTGGTCTGGTGGGAGGTGTCCCTGCCCAGGGCAGCAGGGTTGGAACGAGATGGTCTTTAAGGTTCCTGCCAACCCAAACTATTCTATGATTCTATGACCATGTACACAATCATTGCTGTTTCAGTGATCTTCATAGAGTTTGCTCACACATATTTATAAAAGGAAAAGCCTTTGCAAAGAGGGACAAGGATAACCATCTTTTCTTTTCAGTTATGGATAAAAACCTTCTAACAGCCAAGACACCAGCAGAAGGCAAAGCAGCTCTGGGCTGGTGTCACTCGTAGGGGATGTTATGCTGCCCCTTAAGGGAGCTGGGTAGACATGGTGCTCAGAGATATGGTTTAGTGATGGTTTTGTCAGTGTTGGGTTGATGGCTGGACTCGATGATCTGAAAGGTCCCTTCCAACCTCGACAATTCTATGATCCTATGGAGCCCTGTAACTAGAGTGGGGAAACAAACTCCCATATTTCTATTTTGTCAAACCTTTAAACCAGTTTGGCACTTTTAGAAATTAGCTGAGTACTCTCAGGCCAGAATCTACCTTAAAGTAATAAAGTAACATCACAAGTTTGCCCTTTTCTATTCAAAGCATGAGACATGTGCCAGTACCAACGTAACGAAGTCACCACAAACCACTCTTGTTCTGTCAACTCCCTGCTTTGAAAAGAGCTCAGCCTTTCCAGCCAGAAAGTAGAAATTAGCACCAATACACTTTTTTTGGAGAGGGGAAGAGGACAGGCAAAACAAACTGTCAAAAGCTATTGCAAGATCTAATACAATTTCTGCTTAAAATGAAAGTGTCACTTGAGTGACAGCTTTTGCATCAGTTCTGTTCACCCAAAGGGAGCAGGGGCAAGAAGATACAGCCACTTGATTCACCCCACTCTAAATCCACCACAGGTTTCTGTCAAGATTTATCTAAATCATTAAAAGTTTGTTTTTCCTGATAAAACTCTTTCATGCACTGTGCGGTGTTTATGCTTTTACAGCATAAAAGCAATTATACAAAACAAAGGTAAAAACAGGGTAAGAACTCTCTCAGCCCAAGTCACACACACAAATCTAAAATCCATTCTTATACTTCTGAGGTGACTTCCCATTTGGAAAGACAGGTTTAGATAAAGATTTCAAGTTCAAGTGTTAAAAAACCCAAGCTTGCTGTCAAGACCTCAGCGAGATGATTTGGCCAATCTGTAGAATATGGTTTTAAATAATCAAACTTACCAGTTCGTTGCTTGTAGATGTACATCTCAGCTTTTCTTCAATCTCCCTTCCTATTTTCTGAACAGTTACCTGAGTCTGTTTAATTGCACACTGGGCTCTGTGAAGCCTGGAAGGAGAAGAGAAGTTATAGCTTTATTAAAAGTCCTAACGATGAATGAACCAGCAAAGATAACAGGGATTCAGATTGTCAGCTTCTGTTGGGAAATGAAAGGTTAGGAGAGGAATCATAAATTGCACAGGATATAAATGAGCATCAAATGCAAACCAACAAGTCTCTAAATTTGATCAAGTACCAAATGTCCTTTTCATTTGTTAAATTCAATAGATGCTGGTAAGACAAAGCTGTAGGTAAAAAAAGAGGTAATTATAAGGACATCATGTAGCAATTATTAAGTCATAACACAGTTAAGATCAAGACACACACAACAGTTACCGTAGTCCAGCTTTTAAAATTATTAAGTCATAACACAGTTAAGATCAAGATACACACAACAGTTACTGTAGTCCAGGTTTTAAAGAGTGCAATTATCATTCAGGGAACACACACCTACCCAGGTCAAGAGCATGAACCACCCTTCAGTACCCCCAAATATGGACCTTTCTGTAACAAAAACACAGGTTTCTTAATGGAATCACATTTGAAGAGTGAAAAAGATGATGATGAGTTTCTGTCCATATGCCCTGGCTTCAGGATGGAGAGAAAAAACTGACTATTTGGCATATTTGTTGGGAAAAAAAAAACAGGCAAGGGAAAGCAATGGCAAAACAGGTCTAAGGGGTGTTAACATTTGTCTTTGCACAAAAAAACAGGCAAGGGAAAGCAATGGCAAACAGGTCTAAGGGGTGTTAACATCTGTCTTCGCATTAACACAGAGTGGAAATAAACATATTTATTAGAAAAAAATCAGAGTTGGTCTGCAGCCATAGACTCTGTCTTTTAAAGGTCCTTACTTTTCCCATTCGTAGTTTCCAACTAACAGCTTCTCCTTGTGTAAGGAGACTCTTCAGGTGCCCTGCTGCTGGGGTGACCATCTCACTCGACTTAAGGTCTAGTTGGAACAGCAGAACTATGGTCAGAACCTACTGTATGACATCAGTGCTCTGCCAGGCAAACGTAATGAAAATACCCTCTTCAGTGCATGCTGTAATGACCGTCTCTGCTTTGCCAAAAATTAAAAAGCTCTGCCACGTCATAGGAATGCTAAATTTTACTAAAGCAAGGCTGCCATTTGCTGTGAGCCAAGGACCAAAGCAACAGAGCACGCAGAAGAGGCTACTCAGCTCCTTCCTTTTACATTCCCTAAACTCTTCCAGATTTATAAGGAATTGACGGGCACAAAATTGAACATAGGAAATTCCATCTGAACATGAGGAGGAACTTCTTTACTTTGAGGGTGGCAGAGCCCTGGAAGAGGCTGCCCAGAGAGTTGGTGGAGTCTCCTTCTCTAGAGATGCTCAAACCCACCTGGACACATTCCTGTTCAACCTGCTCTGAGGGGACCTGCTCTGGCAAGGTGCTGGATTAGATGATCTCCAGAGGTCCCTTCCAATCTCCACCATTTTGTGAAGCACTGCTATTTAAAGTTCTTGGCTAACAAGTTTTAACAGTTTGCATGCAGCTAAACCAAGATAACCAGGCTACATCCTCCAAGTACGAGCAACCAGAAAGCACTACTCCTCCTCACACCATCTTCCCTCAACATCACATCTCAACCCAGCAGCTCACGTTACACATTGGTCAATCAGTGCGAGGACAGTGCCCAAACCACCCAGCCCAGCAGAGAGATACGGGGACAGTATCTCCTATAAGTGTGTATTTCCTACTGGGAACTACTACCACCCATTAGCTATGTAACGTAGGTCAAAGTCAAGGTTGGCTGACCATCCTAAACATCATTCAGGTCTCTGCTCTCAGATCTAATTTTCCTACTTCAACAGTTTCCAACCTGCCTCTTGCCAAAAGTCTGGAACATTTTCTTTCCAGACATAAGAAAGCTTTACTCAAAGCTAAAACTTATAAATAAAGAGTAATAACTGAGTGACATTTCCTCTCCCCTTCATCTAATTTTATGCTGAAAGAACATTCTTGATTTAGTCTGGTAGGCGATTAAGAAATTCTACAAGTCTTCACATCACGCCATGTAGGTAGCAAAATCTGGCTGCTGAAAAGCATTTTACTCTTGGGAAAAGTATTGATGAAACTGGTAAATCGTTAGAAGGCTCATTTGTCGTGCAAGTTCCTCACAGTGATCCTCAACCTGCAAATTTTATAGCAGCTTCAAGTTCTTCTGCCCGTGCCAAGTATAAGGGACAAACATAGAATCATGGAATGGTTTGGGTTGGAAGGGACCCCAAAGATCAGCCAGTTCCAAGGCCCCCTGCCATGGCCAGGGACACCTTCCACCCAGATGAGGTTGCTCAAAGACCCATCCAACCTGGGCTAGCATCTCAGCACACCCACAGCAAAGAATTTATTCCTGATCTAAATCTTCCCCCTCTCAGTTTAATTATTCAACAGACTTCTCAAACCATCACATATCTTAGGAAACTTCTTCCATTTGGTGAATCCATATCTAAAGGTACATTCCTATGAAGACTCCTATCCAGAATAATTCAAGCAATCAAGTCTGGTTTTAACAAGAACCCATTTTCTTTTTAAGCAAAACATCATCCAGGCATTTCTTACAACATTAAAAAAAAAAACCTCGAGTTAAACTTGGCTGCCTCATGCCAAAATAGTGCCATTTACATCGAGGCAACCAGTATCAGCAACTTTTCTTTCTTGCAATCCCAGTATGTCTACTGCTGTTCCAAGAACTTTAAAACGCTAACAGTAAGACCATGACCACATCCAATGTTAAGCCTTCCAAGATTAAAATTTTAGGGACTTCATGTCACAAAAGCAACAACTATCAACAGAAATCTCCTTTCCCCAGCCAAAAAAAAAAAAAAAAAAAAAAAGCCCTCACTGCACCCACATGGAAATCTTTGGTCATCCAACAAGGGGAATACAAACTAAGCCGTAAGAACATCAGCATGGGAATTTTGTCCATCATTTCTTCCTGCACGAGACAGGCTTCAGCAGAGGCAATTATGGATGCACCGATGAATGCAGATCAGCAAGATGAGGCCATAAATCTGGGTTAAAATATATATATACACACACACACAATGAATGGAGAGAAATTTCAATGCTAATTGACGGCATATTGTTCCCATTTCTAGCGTGGATGCAAGTCCAAGGCTACAGCCTAAAGTTAGCACAAGTTGTGCTTTGAGTACAATCCGGCTCGGTTTAGTAATCGACAACCACGAGCCAACTGATGGCATAATCTAAGTGCAATCAGCCAACGTAGGATTCTTCCTACATTGTTCAAGAAGGTGTCTTTTTTTATTATTATTTGTTATTAAAATTAGCGCTTCTATAGCACTTTAAGAGCTAAATTCAGGGCTTCAAGAGGCCACTGGCCTGCTACCAACATTTCCTTCGGCAGTCAGGAAAGCCGAGCCAGTTCCAGCAGAAACTCAAGGCTTTTTAAAGAGATAATTTAGCCAACAGTGTCGTCATCCCGTGTCTGCTCTGGTGTCTCTGCAGCAGCTCACGGCCATTGTCAGCCAACAGGCGAGTAATACGAATGTTAATCGTGACAGATTTACTGCTGTTGCTTGGGGCCCTGAGAGCTGCTGTGCAATTGTCCAACTTCAGGTGAGTTCCACGCTGCTGCCTGGGAAAGGAGTGGAAAGCAAAACAGACATTAAAATTCCTTACCACCTTAAGATAGTTCGGAGGGGGGAGACCCATGAAGCTGTTTTTCCTACTTCCATCCTCATATCACCTGCTTTCGGAGATGAGGGAGACTAAGAGGAAACAAAACACTCTCATAGAATCATAGAATGGTTTAGGTTGGAAGGGAGGTTCAAGATCATCCAGTTCCAACCCCCTGTCACAGGCAGGGACACCTCCCACCAGAGCAGGTTGCTCCAAGCCCCCTCCAACCTGGCCTTGAACCCCTCCAGGGATAGGGCAGCCACAGCTTCTCTGGGCAACCTGGGACAAGGTCTCACCACCCTCACACCAAACAAGTTCTTCCTGAGATCTCATCTAAACCTCCCCTCTTTCAGGGTCAAACCCTTCCCCCTCCTCCTAGGGCTCCCCTCCCTCATCAAGAGTCCCTCCCCATCTCTCCTGGAGACCCTTGAGGGACTGGAAGGGGCTCCAAGGTCTCCCCGGAGCCTTCTCTTCTCCAGGCTGAACCCCCCCAACTCTCTCAGCCTGTCCTCCCAGCAGAGGGGCTCCAGCCCTCCCAGCATCTCCTTGGCCTCCTCTGCCCCCACCCTAAGAGGCCCACATGCCTCAGGGTCTTCTCTCTTCTGTTGGAAGTGTACAAGACAGTGGAATAAATACAAAAACATTAGTCATGTACAGTAAGCAAAGACCACCAAAAGTTGCATCCCTAATCAATCTACGAAGAACCAGCAGGGAAAATTTCAACATCTCTCCTCCTCACTTGATATTTACTGAGTTGCTGAAATATGGGATATTTGGGATGTTTCTTAAAGGCTTTTCTAGTCTAAAACACAATTGTTCCCTCTTCACTCCCTCCAAAAAACCCTTCTTTCTACCTTGTCTGTAAAATTTGAAACAATTCTAGCATTCAGTGTCCTACTGATCAATTCAACCTGGGTGCTGATTTGGAGTGAAAAAAAAAAGAGATTGACAAGTTCTGGACTTCTTCGCCATATAATTTCCTTGTCTTGTTTGCAAGATTAAGCAGTTTTCCTGACTTCCCCAAGACCACACAACATAACTTGACTTTACAACACAGGAACATGATGTAACACCACATTTGCTCTCATTCAGAGAGCAAATGATCAGAGGGCTGGGGCATCTCTCCTATGAGGACAGGCTGGGAGAGTTGGGGGAGGTTCAGCCTGGGGAAGAAAAGCCTCAGGGGAGACCTTGGAGCCCCTTCCAGTCCCTAAAGGGGTCTACAGGAAAGCTGGGGAGGGACTCTTGATGAGGGAGGGGAGCCACAGGATGAGGGGGAATGGTTTTAAACTGAGAGAGGGGAGAGGGAGCTGAGATGTGGGGAAGAACTTGTTTGG